TCTCAAACTTACTGTCTGAATTGGGGGGAGAGAAGAGAGAAAAGGGAGAGAAAGAGGGCATGAGATATTTTTTTTAATATAACATTTATATAGCAATGCCAATTTATGCAGTACTAAATATTGTACAGAAGCCCACGTACACATACTAGGGCCAATTTAGACATGAGCTAAATATCCTACCAGCATGTCTTCAGAGTGTGGGAGGAAACCCAGGCAAGCACAGGGAGTACATGCAAACTCCATCCAGGTAGTGTCCTGGCACAGGACCCCAGTGCTGCAAGGCATAAGGGCTAACCACTAAGCCACTGTGCTGAATTCACATGCCAAGCAGTGCCGTCAGGCCTGCCTGCTTGACTACACAACTCCCCCACCCTTCTCTACATGTATACAGAGTTCTTTCCCAGCAAAACAATGCTGCTGCCATGCCTTTTCAAGAGCCTTTGGGCATACTATGTGTGGGGAAAGAGATCTTGGGAAATAGTTTTGGAGGCTTGCCTATATCAATAGAAACCAACCTCCAACAACTGCCCCTGTACAAATTTTGGAAGTCTGGTGACGTGACAAGGAATAATAAATGCTGTTTCTTGCTACCAGAACACACTAGAAGAGAAAAAAAAACCACAACATTCTGCTGGCATGTGATCTGGAGGGGATGCAAGAGTAAATCTGTGTAATTCCTGGACATACACTTCAATAATGCAGACATCTATGACTCCAAATTCACTTATGTGGAAGACATGCCTGTAAAGACCTAATAAGAACATTTCCTTTCTGACAAAATGTTTCCTTATACTAGCAAACTTGTGACCAGCAGAAGGACCATCTAATCATCCTCTAGCTGTGGCATTGGATGAAATACTTTCCTTATTTCACCCCTGTCTGCTCTGCAGTGGGGAGGAACTCAGGACTACTGGTTCAGATAAAACTGTATAACACTTAGCCCATGGGATTGGTTTTGGCTTACCTGGTCTAGCAGTGGCAGCAGCAAAAGGCTTAATTTTCTGCACCAGACTGTTCCCAGCCTCTATGTTCACACCACTGGCTTTGTAAGTCAGGGGCCTGTCAGGACACACAGGGAGATGTTAGCACCCAAGGAACTGCATTACAGTACAAAGGATTGGTGTGTAATTAGCACTCATTCAAACCAACAACTGCATATTTACATCATCATCTACAGGGAGCAATTACTTTTGAGAGACTGCTATTCTGCAGACTTCATGAAAACTACCATGAACAATTTTTGCTCTTTAGACTATCAATACCACCAATGTATTGATACCCATTCACTTAGCACCCTCTCCTGTAAGACCATACTGTGAGCAATGGAGGCTGCCACGAATGCTACTTTTGAGAAAATCATACCCCTTGCCATCATACTGATGCTTTGGCTTAGATGCTGTCCAAGGCCCTAAATAGGTATAGAGCTAAGAAGTGTTGACACTTTTCTGACACATATCAGAAGAAGCATTCTGTATATGAATAACTTAAAACAGGTTAAAATATAAAACGACTTTCTTTTCAGAAGTGGGCTAAAAATGGCTGGCCCCACACGACAGGGTCACTTTAAAAGCACTGCAGTCTTTGGAAAAGCATAACACCCCCTATAATAGCCACTGCATTGGTGGGGTGCCCAGTCTATACAGATCGTCTCATGTTCCATCCACAAATAGTGGTAGCATAAATACTACTCCGGAGCCGAGTGGCAAAGGATGAGAAAGAACTTGTCTGTCTGACAGATGAACTAAATGCATGGGTGCCATTTGACATGGAAGGTAAGGTAGAGATGTCACCATATATTATCCCAACTTCGCATTTTTGTATAATTCGTGGAGTGTGACTAAAGTCGATTGCCATCATACAATTTACATGTGGCTACCACTGGTGAGGAGGTTACTCCAGCTAGTTTCTAGCCCCTTTGCTTTTTTTTTTTTTTGCCAGATACTAATTTTTCTTGTGCTCACATTAAGGCCTTGTTCACACCAAGCACGGAGCAGAGCAGTTACAGACCGGAGCAAAATTGCGTCTAAAGTATTCCAATGGTATTTTTAGCTCCAGTTCACATCGCAGCGTTGCATTCCAGAGCAGGTCAAAAAAATTGCAGCAGGCCCTATTTTACCTGCTCTGGAACGCATGCAAACACCCTGGAACGCACTGAAAGCCCATTTTAAACCAAAAAAACAATTTTTTTAACCCAAAACGGCCTGGAACGCATCAAAAACACGGCACAACCCACTGCACTGCGTGTGCAGAGACTCATGCAGATCTGCTCTGCATTTGGTGTTTACAAGGCCTTAATCTCCAAGGACCTTGACAGGGTCAGCACTATCTTTGAGGAGAGCTATGGCTGCACACAAAAAAAAAACAAAAAAAACGAAACATCCCTCATATCGTTTTTGATAAAGAATGAAAAGGCTGCAACTGTATAAGCAGGTACCGATTTTATTATGCAAATGTAAAATACATTTGCTGGAGAGAAAAAAAAAAAACACAACAGCAGCACTTGGGGAAAAGGAGGAACAAGCCTTTTTCCTGCTGATCACTTGCCTTTTTCCTGGGTGATCTGAACATCTTAGCACAGGTCTGAATTCTTATCAAGCATGACTGTTTAGAATCCACATGATCAGTGGCATCATCCTGGCAGCATACCTCATCCCGCCGGGTGAACGTCCCCTCCTCTCTGCCGGTGTCCATTACCAAGATGGCCACCAGCAGGCGTCAATTAGATGACCACGCATGTGTGATGACATCACAGAGGGGTGCCACCCGATCTCCGTTTCGGGTGTCACCTGGCCATGGGACGCTCCTGCACATGATGTCCACCTACTGGTGTAGAAGATACGACCCATCTCCTGCACAATCTGCAAACAGCCAAATGTAGGTGGCTGCCAGTCTAGCTGTGGAAAAAAAAATACTCAAATTCTGAAGAACAAAACAAGGGTAGATGTTGTGTCCCGTTGCGGAACACCAGACTAGATAGCGAGGGATGTAGGACAATATCCAGCACCCCCTCCAATGCAACACATCATATACGTTTGGTGGTGATTTATAGATCATGTGTCCAGACATATGCTGACTGAAGGAAAGAGATATTTTCTCTTTTGTGCGTACATGTGCACACAGATGTCAAATGCGAGTGGAATGCACCTTAAAAGGAAACTGCGTAGGAGCCAGCCCAAACAGAAATACAGCTTTGTTAATTGGGCCTTTCATGTATCTTGTTGGCAACCATCCATGCATTATGGGGAACAAACAGTTATAAGAACTGTCTACACTGCATTCTAAACTTGTAGCTGAGAGTTGTACATCGCCTATACGCCGGATGTCGAATTCCATTTAACACCCTGTCTCAATAGCACACAAAGTCTGACAAAAAAGCCTACAGGAGGAATGCCATTGGCTCCAGCTTGTTCCCATTCTACTGCAATAAGTAGCTGATCACAACTTTCTCTGAGGTGCTGACCCAGGGCACATGCTGACTTGTTAGGTTATAAGTAGGGATGAGCTCAGGTTTGGAGCATGCAAGTGGCATGGGCTTCCATATAATCATGTAAACAAAGGGGCAGGATGCCTGTGCTGATTAGGGATGAGCCGCACACCCCCGTGTTCGTTCTAATTCGAACTTTCGGACATGGAAAAAGTTCTAATTCGAACTTAGAACTCAATGTAAGTCTATGGGGGTAGAACTCCAAAAATTAAAATGTGCCCATTTTGAAGCCTTATATGCAATTTATTGGCCATAAAAAGGGTATGGGGATCCGGGTAATGCCCTGGGGGACATGTATCAATGAAAAAAATACTTTTAAAAAATACTACTTTTAAAAAAGGAGCAGTGATTTAACATTAAAAATGAAAAATTCCTTTAAAAAAGGAGAACTATGAGGTGAGTGCTTTTCACTCACCTCATAGTTCTAGCCGACCTGTGACAATGAGACTGTCACAGGTCGGCTCAGTAGATCGGGAGGTGAGCGAACACATACCGGGTTCGCTCACCTCTCGAGCCTGTCACGGCTCTCTGCTGTGACAGGGGGAGGGACTGGATTCCCCTCTCCCTGCTCCGATCTGCCAGTGCTGACTGTCGGAACGGATGGGGTAGGGGGGCGGGTACAGCTGGCTCTGCCTCTAGATAGGCAGAACCAGCTGTCACTCACACAGCTGGGCGGATGCCGTCATCCAAGTCGGGATCCGCTCCGGCGTCTCAGTATACCGCGAGCTGTAGCTCGCGGTATACTGAGCTTAGGGTAACGGGAGGACGATAGTTTGTGTCCTCCCATTACCCTAAGGAGAACTATGGGGAAAAACATTGACCCCATAGTTCTCCTTTAAATATGGTGCCTGGGGGGTCCCCTTTCACTGCCTGTAAAGTGGCGCATCTGTATGATGTATAGAACCTGCTGAAGCAAAAATGACATAAAGAAAAAAAAAAATGACATTTAAAATTGCCGGTAACTGTGTATTGGTAATTTAGTGATTCTCTAAAATATACAGAAGTCTGTATTCTCTAATCTCTATCTATATATATCAATAAATCTGCTCTCACTAACTCTATTGGAACTCTTTCTCTTTACCTCCTACAACACACTATATAGAGCCGCGGTGTCAGCAGCCTTATATGGTGTGCTGCAGGGACTCAGCTGTGAGACATGATTGGGCAGAGTCATCATGACTTTGCCCAATCATGGCTCTAAGTGTGTACTGAGCCCTGATTGGCACAGTCTTGCACCTGACCTGTGGTCAGGTGCAAGACTGTAGCCAATTACAGTTTAGGAGGGCGCAGTGCATTGTGGGATGTTCCGCAGTCGAACAGACCGCGAACATCCCGCAATGTTCGGCGTTCAGCGAACGCTAGAACAGGCTATGTTCGAGTCGAACCTATGTTCGATTCGAACATGCAGCCCATCACTAGTGCTGATGTCATTTCCCAAATATATAGTGTAGCCATACAAGGTCAATGATATCACGGCATTGCACCCCTTTGCGCAAGTCTAGCTGTGGGCGAGGAATTCCTTGGGTGGTACAGAAGGTGCATCCCTCCATTTGGGAGGAGCTCTTTACAGGTTCAGAGCTGCTCAGATTCGAACCAGGTTTGGTCCAATCTTGAGCTCATCCCTACTTATAAAGTACGAAATCCTAGTATAGCGAGTAAAGCTGGAGATCACAACAGCTGAGGTTCTGCTCTTCAAGTACCAACAACCAGGCATGTATAAAGCTGAAAGCTATAGAGATCAGATGGCAAGGTCACAAATTTCATTTCAAGGGCTGTCAACATTTCCAGAAGGTATCAAGTTGACAGACAAAACCAAGGAAAGCAATATACTAAACAAGATCCATTTTTTTCTTCTTCGTTTTTCACCTAGAACAAGCACCAGAGGCAGTTTTTGCAATGACAAGTAAATTGGAAAAAAAAAAAAAAAAAGGAGAAAACCACACACACAAACTATTTAAAAAGACAAATTAAATCTGTTTTTATTTTGCTCAAAAATGAAGAATTTAGTTTTAAATCTCTATTTCAGCCTCCCTATACACACCTGTTTTGCTTGAGATAAGCGATCGCTCGGTAACCAATGTCCTTTCTGTATATCGCACCAGAGAACTGCACAACAGCTACTCCTTTGTTGGCTTCCTCCAGGGCAGATATCAAATCCTTCCTGATGGCGGTGACCGTGAGAACCCGTCCACCACTGGTAACAACCTTTCCATCCTTCAGAGCTGTGCCAGCATGAAACACCTCCAGACCAAGATCCCTGGCTTGAGAGAACCCTAAAAATCAAAATAATAAAGGATTATTTACTATACCTAGGAGCAGAAAAAACTAAAATTCAGGCCACTGCAAAAATACATAATGCCATTGGTCCATGCAATATTGATTTCGTTTTTAAAATTTGGTTTAAACAAGCCACACATAGTATATCGGAAGGGTGCTGTGAGTGCAGTTCTCCGTGTCCTTATCCACTTCTCACAGACTTACTCAACTATTTTTACACAGTACCCATCGTACCCCTGAGTTGTGGTTAAGAATAGGTCTCAGGAATGATCCTTCCTGTCCAAAAATGTGGCTTTCGCCGGGATCCTTGATACACCCACTGTGGAGGTGTCCCAAATTGGTTTGCCATTGGGGTGCAGTGCTTGCGGTTATTCATTCTGTCTTTGGTATATTGTTAGAGAACGCACCCAGAGTATACATACTTGCAATCTTTGATAATCCCTCGATGGCATCGTACACCAAATTGGCTATACATAGGGCCCTCTTTACCGCTAGACGTTTAGTGGCAAGGAAATGGATGGCCACCTCCCCTCCCTCTATATTTGAATGGATCTCTGCGTTAGACCAGATTGTAATGTTTAAATGCATTACTTATCAATATAGAGGGATTGGAGGCGATAAATTATCTTTACTCTGGTCCCGATGGCTACAATACCGTACACATTAAAGGTATTCTTGAATTTACATATATTACCATTTAGACAGATCAGTGACGTACGTATGAGCTGAAGATGTAATTTGCTTCCTCTAGTTCAAAGTCTCTATGTTGCTTTTTGTTTTACAGTGATGTAAATGCCAATATGTGCTTAGGTGATTGGATTTTAATGATTTAGATCCCCGATATGTGCATATGGTGGATGTTTTCCTTCTTTGTTTTGTTATATATTCTTTTTTTCATAAGTATTACATTTTTCTGATATATATATATATATATATAAACCCACACATAGTATATCACATTAGTCCATTGGCAAAGTAGACCTGAACTCAAAAAGTGAAGATTTGATATCCTATGCCAGGGGTAGCCAAACTTCAGCTGTGGTGAAACTACAAATCCCATCATGTCTTTTCCTCTGGGAGTCATGCCTGTGGTGGTCAGTCTTGCAATGCCTAATAGGACTTATGGTTTCACTGCAGCTAGAGGGCCGAAGTTTGGCTATCCCAGTCTTACACGAACTAGGAGAGAAGATAATTGTGTCAAATCTGTGCACTGGAAAAAATATATAATCTATATCCTTTGTCTTAAATTCCCTTCCTGCATTTCCTGTGCCTACATCCTCATAGCTGTATAGCTGCAGTGCGCAATCTCAGACACTGCTGCCTCTTACTGCTAGTCTTAGAAGATTTGGTGATGTCACTACTGGGCTGCTCACTGTTCTCCTGAAGGCTGGCTGGAAAAGAAATGTGCAAAGATCTCCCTGCTTCAGAATCATTCGCTCCGTGGATTTGTGTCTCTTCAACTATCCTGCTGCTGTTTGAGCATTACCTCACCAGACTAGGACACGAAGAAAAGCTCCAATCCTCTACCAATACGGCCACCTCCACACAGACATTGTGCAGAGCAATTCCATGTCCCTTCTGCTAAAATTCCAATCATTGGCTACAATTGCCAACTATTGGTATATATCATCCCTTCTCCAAGTCCACAACATTCGAAAAGGAGCCAAGTTACACAAGTAACACGCCTTGGAGAGGTTTTGTGGGCCCATGAAATACGTTGGCTGGTTAATTTTATGGTCTTTATTATTAAAAGATCATATTTGACTCTATAGATCGGCAGTGGCACCCTCTTTTTTGTTCTACAACATAGAAAAAAGGCCTTGTATATCAGTAATGGGGGGAGGGAGGTTTTTTTATTTTCTTTGTAGCTCTGTTTCCAGGAATCTTTCCAGGCCAACACATGATCCTCTGTTTTGGCCAATGTTTGGAGGCTGTTCTTGACCTTACAGGCTTAATTCCCTGTCTGCTCTATGGTCAAGAACGGTCTACAAACTTTGCTGAACAGAAGATCGTTTGCGGTCCTGGAAAGACAAGAGAAAGATCTGCTGCAGAAAGACCACAGGCAATATAGAGGTCTAGTCTTCTGCTTGCTTTGGCACACAGCTTCCACAGTTTAGGTCTTTAACTTGCTCATGAATGACCAGGCATTAATGAAACCAAAAGGACAAGAGGAAGTTACCCCATCAAAGGTTCATGATAATCACATAGAATTGCATATGATACCAGGAGTCCTCACCTGTGATTTCCAGGCCTTTGGCGTAGCTACCAGGATAACCCCCGCTAGCCATAACTACAGTGACTGCAGCATGGTCCTGCAGCCACACCGGCATAGAACCCACGAGGTGCCCATCTAGAGTAGCCTGGATAACATCATACAAGTCACTCTGAAGAAGTGGAAGTATCACCTTAAAAACAAAGAACATAAGATATTTCTTCAAATCAAGTGTAATCTAAGTTTAACATATAGGTTTGCTCCCAAAGCTCTCCCTTGACAAAGCTTCTTTCTTTCCACATGGGTGGAGCCATCTTTGTCCAGATACCAACCAGGGTCACCCCCTACATCATTGACTCAAATACCGGCTCAGAGATGACACAGTCATGCAAATTTTGGCAAGTGCGCTGTTCTTGGTGGTGTTCACAAATATCCAACACAGATCAAGCCCCTGTTGGAGCCTCTCACCTTGTGACTTGCTACATAAAAAGTAACAAATGTTGCAATCTGACTGCTGGAGGAGTGTAGACAGACTTCCTCCTGCCTGCAGCAGACTGATGACATCATCTTGGTCTAGACAAAGTCACTGAATTGAAGCTTATGCAATGCTTTATTGATGTACAGTGATGCACAGTGTGACAGATCAGGAGTTGCTAACTAATCGATTTTGAAAATAATCGTTAGCTGCAGCTCTAATTTCATGCAGACATGTAAATATAAAGTCAGTGCTATAAAATAACAGTCAGAGATCCCTGGTTCAGCAAAGTTGAGATAATTAGAGCAAAGTTATGATTGGTTGCTAATGGATTACAACACTTTTCTTGAACAAAAAATGGGGCTTCAGAACAAAATAAAGCCCTAAACACCGACTATGGTTTTAAATGAAGTTTATATTCCATAAAGAGGAACACAAGTAGAGCATAGCCATTCCCATACCTGACACTCCGGATCTCCGAATCGGCAGTTAAACTCCAGCACCTTAAGCCCATCTTTAGTAAGCATAATACCAGCATAGAGAACGCCTGAAAAACACAAAGAAGACCGTCAAAAAAAACCTGGAAGAGAATGTGTCAGACTTTAGAAAGTTTAATGTGCTACTAAACTCTTTTTAATATATTAATGTTCACCAATCTTCAATAAAGCATCTCTCCTAAACATGTGTGCAAGCATTTGCACATTGTAGATTTCACAGCCACTGGCTCCGGATTGCTCAGCAGCGCTACCCTGAGCTTCTGGTGGGGGAAGTGTGTACACGTTATCTTTTCATCCTTGTCGGGACTACATCTCCCACCATCCCCATCTTCCGCCCTCAAAGACCCAGCCTCAGGAGGCAAAAAACAACAAGCCACAGTCTATTACAGTCAATAGGAAAGGAAGCCGCTTCTACACTTGGTTACTAGAACACGAGTTCCACCCCCTCCCCAGTGACAGCATTTCAAAGGCGCTCTTACTGGACTGGGTGCGGGCATGTCTTGCCCATAGTAAAGTGGAACTAAAATCAGAGGGACCCGCAGGACAGTTCCCCCATCTGATAACAGAAGGGACCCTGTGCTGCCTCCACTTAGGTAAGGCTTTGATAAAGTAAACCAATCAGACATTTTAAATTTGACAGATACTGGAATAAGTTCAAATAGATTTAGCCATTTGTAGGGCAACATGCTTTTATGGGAGTCAGAAAGCATATTTAAACTCAACAAAAAGGAAATATACTTCAGCTTAATTGGTCCTTAAAGGTGGGAGGAGGCGATAACCCAGCCCCCACATCGATTTTCACTTGCTGATCCTGCCAGTTACCTACTTTGTCCTAGGCCCCTAGGGTGACACTCGTCGCAGTACTTTATCTACGGAGGAGCAAAGTTGTTACCCTAGAGCAGGAAGCAGGCAAGACTACAGAACACCTCCCCTGTTGATCTTGCAAAGAAAGCATTGCTGTCCTGTGCACTTTGCATTCTTGCAAATGCACTTGTCGAAACATATCACAAAACATGTTAATGGGGTATTTAAAATAACTATTGCCAAACCTTTTTTTGGCTGTAGTTCTCTTTAGGGTCACAGGAGGACATTTAGTAATGTGGCCCAAAAAACTTACCATATAGCGGGCTATTGCCCACTATATGCTGACCGCATAGAGATGCAATGCAGACGGGAAGGATCTAGACGATATTGTCGGGATCCACCCCACTGCCTGATTGACAGCTGGCTCTGCCTTTCTAGAGCCAGGAGGTGTCTACCCCCTCTCCAGTCTGCGCTGGAGGTACGGAGAGGGGAAAATCCCTGCAGAGAGTGGTGACTGACAGTCAGCGCTTTCTGCAGGGAGATCGGAAACTGAGTAATCAGCAGTTTGTGATCGCTCAGTTCTCGATCAATAGACAGCTTCAGTGTCACATGTTGGCTCTAACTATGGGGATGAGTATTTCACCTATCCCAACATTCACTTTAATAGACCAAAAGGGAGCAAATAAGAGAAGTTAATTGTTGGAGTGCACATATACTTTAAGATTCCTCCTCCTTTACATGCTCTACCATAGTTCCACTCTAAGTCCTCAATCACTATACTGCATATCATTACAAAAACATGTCGATGTGACCAGTTTCTCTGGCCTTTTTCTACTTTGGTAGTTACTCCATGCACGCTTTGACAGTACAGACAAAAAAAAAAAAAAAAAAGAAGGGCAGAACCTCCGTCAGGTTTTTAATAAAATCTACATGTTCTTAACTTCCTGTCCCAGAGACACCTTCAGCAATACAAAAAAAACGCTTCAGCTTTCATTGGAGTATTCATGTTGCACATTTTCGTGTATGGCAGCATATGGTAAGCCTGTATTTAATCAAAGGGTTACACCGCTCTGCCATCAGTTTGTTCCCATTTGCATTGTTAAGAAACTCAAATGTACAGGTTCCTTGGATGCTCTTAACTTAACACACAAACATGGAGGCCCCTCTAGATGCCAGATACTGAGCTCTGTGGCCAATTTTCAATAACCTTTTAGGCACTTTGAATTTACTTTCAGGAGTTACAATAGCTATAGAGTAAAAAAAAAAATAATATATTCATTATGTGGTATTCTAATAAATCGTTCTGAAAAGAAAAAATAATTTATCCTGGCCAACCTGAAAATTCTACATTAGAAGAACAGTTCACAGGAGGAAAGATCAGATCAGTGAACTGCATAAGCCACATCTACATTTCATCTTGTTTTGGGCAATTTCTCACAGCCAGATATATTAGAATTCTCACTAGTTCTGTTTAAGGCTGCAGCTTCTTTTCGCTTTCATTCTATGAAGGACACAGCATAGATTTTGAATCTGACCATTGGGCAATAGTGCCACCTTCAAGACCAATGGTCAGAGATTCTTGATTTCTACCATGTCCTTCAATGCATGCAGAGAAAAGGACTTTGCTGGGACTGAAAAAATCCTATTTTTCCATGCACCTCTATGCTACAACCCCTCAGGGGCAGGGCCCTCCTTACCATCTTGTCTTGAATTGTATTGCGATTGTAATGTCTTCCTTATATTGTAAAGCGCTGTTGGTGCTATATAAATCCTGAATAAGAATACAACCTTCCTCTCATGCTCCAAATGGAAAGAACGCAACTTTGCCTGCCTCGTTTACATCAAAGCATTTTCTAGTTATTACACTCGACTCACCAATATATGGCGTTCCATCTTTCCGAACTCCATCCACAGCCCTCTGCAACACAGTGTCCCGGATTTCCGCAAGTAATGCCTCCGATATCTGATGCAACAGCCATATACAAAAGTAAGAAAATGTTATGTAGTTTCTATTAAGTATCCACTCTGGTACTGGCGCCATGCTGATAACTGCTGAGCAATACACAAGATCAGAATAAGCATTTTCAGGTCCATACCTGAGGTGCAGGGCAGTAAGCTCCCATCCCCCCTGTGTTAGGGCCTTGATCCCCATCCATCAGTCTTTTGTGATCCTGGGCTGGAGGCATAGGGGCAACTGTGACCCCGTCTGTGAAACACAGGCACTGCAAAAGAACAGGGATTTTAGTTTGTCGCAGTAATGCCAAAAATTAAATCTTTTAACCTGCTTAAAGTGATCGTAAAGTCAAAAGGTGTTTAAGCCTTTCAAATGCTGATTAAATCCCTAACAATGGATGCTGTTTCTTGACGTTTGAAAGGTTTAGTTACTTGCAGGATCAGATGAGCCTTGGAGCACCTGTTTTAGGGTGACTCCTTTTCCTTGCAGGGTCCTACGGAGCCACCCTTGTGTGCGCTAGTAATCCGTGTGTCTAAAGAAACACACAGGCATAGCTAAGCTATCCAATGGAAGGCTGCTGGAGACAACTGTCCATTGTGATCTTGTAGAGGACAGGAAGTTTAGGGAAGCCAAGCTAATGAAGTTGGAGCTGTTTGACACACGATGACTAAGTGGTTTGGCAAAATAGAAAATAAATATTTTGTTGGGCAATGTATATTTGTTTGATCCGGGTTTATTATTGAAAGAAATTTTGGGAATACTCCAGAGAAACTCTGCAATTATTCACACCCCTGTTGCAGTCTAATTATACATTTTTGTGAAAAAAAAGAAGTTACACCCTCTTTGAATTCTACAGGTTTTACGTATCGGGACATAATCTGGTCCTTAGTGGTCTTAAAATTAAACCTTACCCATATCTTTAAGATTACAGATGATTGCCCAGCAATGCACTGCTGATGTAACCTTCCCAGGAACATTACATCATTTGGGCCAGAAGTGAACCAGGATTTGGAAGTAAATGAAAAACAACATGTTTAACGAATGTAAGAGGATTTTAAATCAGCATGCAGAGGTGCATGCTGTGATTTTTGTGAAAGGGGTTAGGGTCCACTTTAAGTAAATACAACCTCAGATGAACACCACATGACATATTACACCGAGTCATTATTTTACAAACATAGCCAAAACAGAGAAACCATGTGTGAAAAAACAAGTACACCCTTGCTGCTTTCATTGGAATTGAGTAAGCCAGGTGCTGCCAATCAAAATCCCTTGACTAATTGATCAGCAACTGGGACCACCTCTACACAAGCTGAAGTGAGTGAGTGAGTGTGCGTGCGTGCGTGGTCAGATTGTGCAATGCTCAGAGAAATTGCAGTAAACCCAGAGTTACATCTCAGACTCCACAGGCCTCAGTTAGCATGTTAAGTTCATGACAGTATAATTAGAAAAAGACTGAACACACATGGTTTGTTTGGAAGGGTTGCCAGGAGAAAGCCTCTTCCCCCCCAAAAAAAAAAAAACACACACACGCATGTGTTAGGTTTGCAAAGGTGCACCCTAATAAACTACAAGACTTCTGGAACAATGTCTTTTGGACAGACGAGACCAAAGTGGAGATGTTTGGCAAAAACCGAACACAGCATTCCAACCGTCAAGCATGGTGGTGGAGGGGGTGATGATTTTGGCCGTTTTGCAGCCACGGGACCTGTGCACTTCGCATTCACTAAGTGAACCATGAACTCCTCTGTATACTAAAGTATTCTAGAGTCAAATGTGAGGCCATCTGTCCAACAGGTAAAGCTTGGCCAAATTCGGGTCATGCAACAAGACAATGATCCCAGCAAACCAGCAAATCGACAACAGAATGGCTGAAAAAGAAAAGAATCAAAGTGCTGCAAGGGCCCAGTCAAAATCCAGACCGCAACACGATTGAAAGGCTATGACAGGACCTAAAGAGAAATGTGCATAAATACCCACAAACCTCAATAAACTGACGCAACGTTGTCTAAAAAAAAAATGAAGTGGTCCAAAATTCTTCCACAAGCAAGCAAGACTGATAAAGTCATACAGAAAACAATTTAAAGTTATTGCTGCTAAAAGTGTTTCTACAAGCTATTGAATTAGAAGGTTTACACATGGCTTCGCCATTTTAGCTTTATGCTTTTAAAATAATGACACGGTGTAATAGGTCACGTGTTGTTCATCTGAGGTTGATTTAACAAACTTTAAGACCTGCTAAAGGACCAGATGGTTTGTATTAAGGCCCGATACTTAAAACCATAGAATTAAAAGAGGGTGTACTTTCTTTTTCACATGACTACTTGCCCCTGCTCTACCTCTTCTGCCAGCAGCACGTCTACAGTTTTAAATTCTCCTGCTTGGAAAAATCTCCAAAAATACCTTTTCAAGTAAAAACCAATACTATATCTTACAGATAAGTTGGAATGTGTAGGTTTTATTTAAGATGTGATATACACATCTAAGGGGTAGATAAAACAATCCCATGACAGTATTAGTAGTTCATTGAATGATTTTACTTGATTTCTGGAATCACACTTAACTGGAATGCAATGGTTTTCTAGAAGTAAGATGGGCAGTACTGGGGCTTAGTGATTGCTATAGCTTCCTTCTAGCACTGGAGGTCAATCCTTAAATTATCTGTATGAAGTACATACCTCTACATTTCAGGACACGCTAGAAAGGAATTTGGAAAATACAATGACAAAACAAAATGATACCTACAGACACTTCTTCACCCTCCAGCAATTCTTCCACTACAACAGTCTCCCCAGCTTCTCCAAACGCCTTGTCCTAGAAGAAAAAGCAGAGGAAAAAGTAGTCAGATTTTTTTTTTTTTTTAAATAAAGGGGACATTTTTTATATCATATTGATAGCAACACCACAGGCATGGCAGAATGCCACACTGCAATACACGGTCTACTAAACAAAATATGCAATGATCAGAAGGTTGATAGGTGACCTATATGGGAGGTTTCTGGGCTCATGGGCTCTCCAATGTACGGAAATCTTATGTTTGGCTGCATGACCTAGAGGATCTAGCTAGGGGAAGAGGATTGGGAAGATTGTTTGGAAGCCCCTATTCTGTGCCACTGTGTGCTTGGCCAATTCAAACCTACGTTATTCATCAGGCCTATCTCGCCCCACATAGACCGGCTACATTTTCTGAGCCCTCTCATTTCCCAAATGCTACTGGTTACACACTTTTTGCTACTTAATCTAGTTGTGTCCAGTGGTGAACACCATTTTTAAATCTGCACCTTTTGGGTACAGATTAAAAAATTTGTGCATGACTTCATGGGCTGTCCTGTCCCCCCCGAGACGTACACTATGTATTATGCAAAACCTTACCCTAGTCTCCCGCAAACCTTACACTCCTCCACAAATTACTATTCCAAGATAGTCCAGCCTATTAGGATAAAATGTGAGGTCCCGGGCTCTCTATAAACCTTCGATACATTGATTTTGATCCCTATGGAATCGCACATTGACAGTGAGCAATTAAATTAAACCAAGTTTAGTCTCTTGTTTCACAACCTTTTTTACTTTTCTAGTTGATGTCCCTGTTTTTTTCCTTTTGGGGATTTTTACACTGTTCGGTTTATTGAGACCAGCTTAGTTATGAATGTTATTGTTTGTATGGCTGTTCTCCAGTTTAATTTCATAATGATCACTCGTGTTTTGTGTGCATTATTCTATAACGTATTGTATTTGTTCAATAGACGTTGATTTTCTTCAAATTAAAAACAAAGACACAATGAGATATTCATTTTTACATTCAGGTTTAACATATGAGTGATGATTGTTTTGGAGCAGCTAAGCACCAATATCAACTGTGGAATTTTCTGGTGTTTGAGAGTGAAACCGTTTTCAAAAATGTTAGGAGACTAATCAAACACCAAACAGGGGTTTGGCATTTAAGTGCAAGTAATTTGGCACTGCAACAGCAAATACTCCCAGGTGCCCGGATGTAGTTTCAGCTTTCTTCTCAAGCACAAAGCTCTTGAGAGCTCATTATGCAAACAATAACTTCTATTAGAAAGATGGCCCACCACTACCCAGACCTCACTACTGGCCCATCATAATTGCTGGTTGAGCCATGAAGAGGGCAGAAAGCCAAAGCTTCAACATACCAGGACAAAGTGTCCTGGTTTCAAAACTCCCAGGGTACTCTAGATAGGGGTTGGTTAGGAGTCCATGCACCTGGAAGTGCTATTGCAATTAAGTGGCAAGTCCTACATAAGGGTCTAAAAGCCGGGTCCCATGATGTGCTTGGCTTTTAAAATGTTCTCCTGAAAAACAAAAAAAATATGGAGAGGAAGTGTCAGAAAGAATAAAATCATCCTGCAATGTCATTGCCTAGGAATTCAGGCAATGTTCCTTACAATGCAGTGCAATGGCTTTGACTCTAACCTTATTTAGGACCGGCATGGAGGGAATGCGAGTCAGAAGGATGAAGATGCAGCCACAAAAATCATATAAAAAAAAAAACAGACAACTCGCTGCCAGCACAAACCTGCCAATAAAAAAGCCCAAATAGCCACAAGTGCTGCAATCGTTCCAAGAATAACTTTGCAATACGTTACCCCAAGTAATAACAGGTGCTCATGAACACCAGCACTGCCCATGCAAGTGAAGTTATTCCCGAAATAGATTTTACAAAAATGTGGTAAATGTTTTGGACCAATGAGCAGTTTCATTTTTACTATAGAAAAGCTAAGGATTCTACATTGGATTTTAAACATGAAGCTGGGTTACTAAAGTTGCAACAAACTCAGTGATAAGGTGATCAGAACAAGAGACTTCCAACTTTCCACTGCTACCAATAAGACTTATGGACAACCCAAGTCTGATTTTAGAGGCATACCCCATACACTGGAAACATGTCATTTCTTACCTGCATAATCTCATTAACAGCTTTACAGGCCTCTTCCTTGCTGCTGGCCACAATCACTCCCTTTCCAGCGGCCAGTCCGCTCGCCTTGACCACCAGGGCCTGGAAGTTGGCACTATAAAGACGAGAGAGCAACAGGACCTTGGGTTAACTCAGCTTCCTTGGATATGTGAACTGCTACTGTTGCGAGGCTTCCATTTGAGATTTGCTACATGGGGAGAATGTTACTATTCCGCTTTGGGTATTTATTAACTACCTGGTGATAAAGTCACAAGCTTCTTTTGGGTCAGTGAAGGATTTCCACTTAGCCGTAGGGATGCCATGGCGGTCCATAAAATCTTTGGCAAAACTTTTACTGGCTTCCAGCTGAGCAGCCTTCGCTGTGGGACCAAAACATCTCACTCCAGCTACCGTCAAGTCATCCACAAGGCCTGAATAACAAAAATAAGAACCCAGTTTTTCATGTTAAATATGTGGGAATGCTGTAGGATCAGAAAGGATACTGAAGAAGGCAGCGTAGACAGCATTACCTGCAGCTAAAGGAGCTTCTGGCCCAACAACCACCAAACCTATGTTGTGGTTTTTGCAGAACTGTATAACCTGGGCATGGTCTTCAACTGGGACATCTGTAGAAACAAGAGGAGAGGAACATAGTTGGATATCATCAGACATAACCAAGACCTAGAACAAAATTTCTACATTTCTAAATGTGTCCCCAACTTTAAAAAAAAAAAAAAAAAGAAGGGGGATCAGCAGAGCTTTAGAGAAGTTTGTGGCAGACCATATACCTAGATACCGGCAAGCTCAAACCAACTTACCCCTAGCACAGGCAAATTAAAGAGAAAAAGAATTAAATGAATGTACACTGAATTAACAAGAAGCAGTACAAAAGAAGTAATTGTGCATTGAAGTTAGCTCATGCACATCAAATTTATTTTGTACCACGGGTTACAAGAATGACTTATTGGGCATGTGAGGGGCACATGTCCTTGGAACGATATAGAACATTGAATCCAAGCAAGCATTAAAAAAGGCAGAAAACACTTAAATTCCAACTGTGTCAGCCAGGAAACAAGGCTTGAAAGAGTAAAGTGAACCTCCTTTCCTCATCTGCCAATGTGAGGAGCTAGAGGTCAGTCTACTTAAAATACTTACAATAAATGCACATGCTTCGAAAAGTAACTACCATGTCCCTCATCTGCAGTGGCAAATACAACTTTTAGTCCTCCATCACAGATTCCTGTGAATAGATGACATGGTTGCACGCCATGGTTGTTACAGAGCCATGCACAGCTGCATGGAATTCAAAGGATAACAGCATGCTGTGGGGAGAAGAATCTCGCACTTCAGGTAAGTGGGATGTGACCATATTTCCCAGTTTCACCCTAAATATGGGTGGAAAATGAAATTTGGCCAGAGAGCTAAAGTCAGCCTTTAAAAAAAAAAAAAAACCTAAAAAGAGTGAGCTGTTCATACAGGGATTTCAGGTCCTGGCCCTTACCAGAGTTCGTGATCTTCCCATTGTTAGCAGTGCCAGCGTTTCCGGGTGCCACAAGGACTTGCTTCACATGGGCAGACTGTGCCAGCTTCCATGCCAAGGCATGCTCCCTGCCACCACTGCCAATCAACAGAACTGCTACGGCCATCTCTGCAAAGTTCAGAAAATGTTAGTAGAATCCAAACTTTGGATGAGTTATGTTTTTCAGACCCAAGAAAATCTAGATCAGTGTCTAAAAGGGCAATTCAATCAGGTTTCCATGGTCAAAATTATATAAAAAACACCCACCAGATCAAGATTACCGACCTTTCCGCTATAAAAACAAGGGTTGGTTTGTTGCCTTGATTCGTTCAGCTACCTTGTGGTGACAGTTTGGTATAATTGCTGGAAATGTGTCTGAAGGTTTTCATATATCCAGGTCATCATATAGCTACTAGGAGCTGGACTTGTTCTCCAACGTTGAATATTCACCACTCATCCAAATGGCTTCATCAAAATGTTCCCGACACTCAGAGCTGAGGAAGCTTTTAAGATATGCGGCACGATCTACATCAATGAAAACCTTCAGACATATTTCAACCAATTTCAGAAAAAAGTCTTGGTGAATGTGACCAAATTCTACTAGCTGACTTGGTTGAAACTAAAACAAGTACCGTATATACTCGAGTATAAGCCGAGGTACCTAATTTTAGCCAAAAAAACTGGGAAAAAGTATTGACCCGAATATAAGCCGAGGGTGGGAAATGAGGCAGCTACTGGTAGATAGATACCATTAAAATACATTAATATTTATTTAAAAGAAAAATAACCTAGCTCTGTAAGTGGAAAAGGGGGTACAGGGCTACATATCATGTACTACGGATCATTTAACCCATTCATATTAGCAGAGGATAATTGTAAATCTATTGTTCAGTGCACTCTATATGTAGTATATAGTACATGTACATATAGAGTGCCTGCAACAATACATTCCAAGGGTCAGGGCTTGCCAAGGGTCAGGGCTTGCCAAGGGTCAGGGCTTGCCAAGGGTCAGGGCTTGCCAAGGGTCAGGGCTTGCCAAGGGTCAGGGCTTGCCAAGGGTCAGGGCTTGCCAAGGGTCAGGGCTTGCCAAGACAGTCATGTATAGGAGGCACCAGATTGTTCCTGGGAAGAACATTTGGTTGGCCAGGATGTATTATTTTACGGTTTCTTTCAATATAACCCTGGCAATGGGGGCATTTGCCTTCTCTCCCCCTCAGCATGAAAACATGTGGCAATAACATTATGTAAGTACAGACACCAACTGTTCGAAAACAAATAAGACAACCCTATGCAGAATATGAGATAACTTCTAACCATTTACCTTCACCACCTGCACTGTTGCCGTGCAGGAGCATGGAGGAATACCAGTTTTATTTAGGTATTCCCAATAATAAACCCAGATCAAACAAATATACATCACCCAGCAAAGTATCTCTTTACATATTTGCCCAAGAACTTACAGGTTTGTTTCCAAACAGCTCAGCTTCCCTGAACATCCTATGGAATAGAAGATCAGAAGGGACAGAGCAGTCTCCAGCAGCTGTACAGCTATTAAGCTTGGAGAAGGGAAGAGGAAGGAAGGAGGGGCAGGGGAATGGCTAGCTTTGCGTGCCAGTGTGTTTGTGGATACGCACACAGGTTACTGGCGCACACTCAAGAGTGGCTCCATAGGACCCTGCATGGGAAAAGAGCCAACCTGAAACAGGATATCAGAATCAGTGCTCAGGGGACCAGCTTATTCTGCAGGAAGCTAAAACTTTCAAACATCAAGGAGCAGCATCCAGTGTAAGTGACTTCATCATTTGAAATCGCTTATACCTTTTGACCTTAAAATCACTTTAACTCTGTTTGAAGCCCAACACAAACAGCACAGAGCTTGCCCCGAGTTTAGACTCAGCAATACTCGCAGGAGAAATCAAAGGCTGGAGAGAATGTGGAAGGGGAGCATCAGTGGGTTGGAGGGCAATGCCCTATCAAGAGAACCTGTCACTTACCCCTGAATGGATGGAACCACCCAGGAACAGCTTAGAGAAGTGCACAACCGTATGGAAAGGGGAAGGACAAAGTCCAGCTTACACACTAATTCTTCCCCTGATGGGTCAGAACCTCCATTCAAGCTCCCCCAACAGTCAGAGGCCCATATTACTGTCCCTAAGGTCTGATCCTAAGAGCAGTAATGGCAAACGTCGTACCTGAGTCTATAAGCCTTCACTAAAAAAAAAACCAAAAAAAAAAAAAAAACACAAAAAACAGCTGCATGCGGATAAAAAAATAATACAAATCCTACATTCATTAGTTAAACAAGCATGTTATTAATTTACTTACAAATAGAGGTCATTCACTTCCTGGTCCACTTATGGCACAAATGATGTATGTGCCCAAGTGTTGCATCCTGGGACGGTTACATCAGCAGAGCATTGCTGGGAAATCTCATCTGCAATCTCAGGGAAAGGCATTTTCCTCCCCTGAGATGATGTGCATGGTCACATGTCCTAGTCGGACGAGTTCCAGGAAGTAAAAGGAGAGCTAGTAATCTGCCCTTAGTAAAAATGGCCACTGTCAGAAGACTGGGAAAGAGAAATATGGCATGCAAAAAAAAAAAAGCCGGCAATTATGTATGCGTTTGTAGATTGTCCTTACTAAACATTTCTAAAAGGTGTGTTAGTTCTTTTAAAGATATGGGTAAAGGTCCTCTTTAAGACCAGGTCTGGTTTAACATCTTTTTCCCTTCCCCAAGAGAAAAGCTCTACCCTGCAGTGCAACAGATCTCTAAAGCTCATGACACACTGCATGTGAAGCTGTGCAGAGCAAAGCAAAGCCGTCAGGCACGGAGCTTCGCATGCAGTGAGTGAGCGGAGCGCAGCCAGATGAATGACTGCATCTTCAGCCAATTGGCTTGCGCGGCACAACCGGATGGCGTGCGCACCGTGACGTGCGGGTTAATACGCGTGGGCTGATTGGCAAAGGTGAAAATAAAATGACACACTGCATGTAAAGGTCCATGCACCACCGATCTGCGCTGCTTCGCGCGTCACAGCCTTAAGCCCGTTACACACTGCACACAAAGCTGTGCAGAGGGAAACAAAGCTGTCAGACACGGAGCTTTGTGTGTAGTGTGTGAGCTGAGTGCAGGCAGATGAAGGACAGCACCTTCAGCCAATCTGCTGGACTTTGCAACCTGACGCACGGGTTTATACGCTGAAAATGACATTTTTTTTCATCTCTGCGCGCTCAGTTATGTGAGCTCTCGCAAGCGGACGTGCCGATAAAAAAAAAAAAAAAACACAAAAAACAGCTGCATGCGGATAAAAAAATAATACAAATCCTACATTCATTAGTTAAACAAGCATGTTATTAATTTACTTACAAATAGAGGTCATTCACTTCCTGGTCCACTTATGGCACAAATGATGTATGTGCCCAAGTGTTGCATCCTGGGACGGTTACATCAGCAGAGCATTGCTGGGAAATCTCATCTGCAATCTCAGGGAAAGGCATTTTCCTCCCCTGAGATGATGTGCATGGTCACATGTCCTAGTCGGACGAGTTCCAGGAAGTAAAAGGAGAGCTAGTAATCTGCCCTTAGTAAAAATGGCCACTGTCAGAAGACTGGGAAAGAGAAATATGGCATGCAAAAAAAAAAAAGCCGGCAATTATGTATGCGTTTGTAGATTGTCCTTACTAAACATTTCTAAAAGGTGTGTTAGTTCTTTTAAAGATATGGGTAAAGGTCCTCTTTAAGACCAGGTCTGGTTTAACATCTTTTTCCCTTCCCCAAGAGAAAAGCTCTACCCTGCAGTGCAACAGATCTCTAAAGCTCATGACACACTGCATGTGAAGCTGTGCAGAGCAAAGCAAAGCCGTCAGGCACGGAGCTTCGCATGCAGTGAGTGAGCGGAGCGCAGCCAGATGAATGACTGCATCTTCAGCCAATTGGCTTGCGCGGCACAACCGGATGGCGTGCGCACCGTGACGTGCGGGTTAATACGCGTGGGCTGATTGGCAAAGGTGAAAATAAAATGACACACTGCATGTAAAGGTCCATGCACCACCGATCTGCGCTGCTTCGCGCGTCACAGCCTTAAGCCCGTTACACACTGCACACAAAGCTGTGCAGAGGGAAACAAAGCTGTCAGACACGGAGCTTTGTGTGTAGTGTGTGAGCTGAGTGCAGGCAGATGAAGGACAGCACCTTCAGCCAATCTGCTGGACTTTGCAACCTGACGCACGGGTTTATACGCTGAAAATGACATTTTTTTTCATCTCTGCGCGCTCAGTTATGTGAGCTCTCGCAAGCGGACGTGCCGAAGAGAAAACTACATGACATACTGCACGCAAAGGCAGCGCGCCACCGCTCCACTCGGCGAGCAGCGCGTCACAGCCTTTAAGTGTTTTACAGTGCTGCCGCGACCTCCCCAAGTATGAAGTCAATGTAAAGAGATTTCGGTACAAAGGCCAGTTGTATGAAAAAACACTTTTGAAGACATCTAAAACCTGGAGGAGAAATATGGTGGTGGGTATCAATGCTGACCTTCCTAAAAATGCTTGTTCCCTGGCTGTTCGCGCTGACTTGTTGATAAAGCCGGTAGGGCAGCCTAAGAACAAGTATTGTTGCCCATCAATAGCAGCCTCCATGTTCATTGCAAGTTTTCTGTAAAGCATACATAACTGGATTCCGTGGATTTTTTAATATACGAATATAACTTGTGAGGACTCCATCAGAGAGATCTCAGCACCGAAGTTCCCAGCTCCAACCAGCTGCCACAAGAGCATCTCTCCTATACTGCCGGATCCTCTATTTACATCAGAGTGTGGGAAATCTAGCAGGAGTCGTCAGTTGTCTGCATCAGTACACATCACCAAAGTCCTTGAGATAGCAGCCGGGAAGAGGGTTTGGGTGGCTCATCCACAACTAGTCATTAGGAAAGCGGACTTTGTACTGTTCATCACCGCACAAAAAGTCATCTTTTCTGCCTCAAAATGTATTCATTTAGGACATCATTCCATACGCATGTGTTTGCATTTAAAGAGCAGGTGCCATGATCAAACACCGCAAATTCTCCTGCTGACAACAAAGGCCCCTTTAGAAATGTTTAGTAATGACAATCTACAAACACATACTTCTAGATAATTGCCAGCTTTGTATTCTTAACATACCTTGTTTCTCTTTTCTTCCCCATTCTACTCACGGTGGCCATTTTTACTAAGGGCAGAATAATCTATATCCCTTTACTTCTTGGAACTCTGGCACATGTGACTAGGACATGTGACCATGCACATCATCTCAGGGGAGGAAAATGCCTTTCCCTGAGATCTCCTGAGACGACAGAAGAAATTTCCCAGAAATGCTCTGCTGATGTAACCTTCCCAGGATGCAATGCTTGGGCACAATGACATCATTTGTGCCATAGAGGACCAGGAAGTAGAACGATTTGTAAGTAAAGGAAAAACAGATTTGTTTAAATAATGAATGTAGGATGATTTCATATTGGCATGCAAAGCTGCATGCTGATGTGATTTTTAGTAAAAGGAGGTAAAGGTCCGCTTTAATGGAAACACACAAAGCAACTCTAGTGCTCTCCAAAAATTATTTGAGCAAGACGCTCCCTGCACAAAACGCCTCTTAATACTGACATTGTGAGTGGGTACCATGTACTATCTTCACCTTCAACTCACCTCTAGGGGTGAAGGAAGCCTGTGCCCATGCTTCATTCAGTGGTGCCTCCCTCCAACCTCTGTGTCACCACTTTGTCCAGTAGTAATGTAGGGTCACTGGATCGAACCACAGTATGTGGCAGGGGACACAGGCATCTGACAAACCTGTAAGTGTTGGATGCCAGAGATTCTGCCGAAGGCCAAAGCTCTGAAAGGGAAGGACGGGGAGGGCAGCAGGGGGTATAGGAGCCCATTTGCACCAATCAGGTCAACTACAATGATTTGTGTTAACACAACAAAATCGGATCTGCTGCATTTTTGCTAGTACAAGTGCACCAACCCACAAACATGAATCTCGGCAGATTTTGGTAACGCCCACCTCCTCAGCACAGTGTGTGGGCAGGCACTGAAACTTCTTTCTTAGCAAGGAGCTCCTTGCTCATTTTTCTGGGATGGTGACATGTCACTTTAAAAAGGAACTCAATGCTTACAGAAACACGGCTTCCATCATTTACCTCCATCTGAAAAAGTTAGCTGCCTCAATATTTTGTTTATCCAAATCACCTCCGGCATTCTGAATTACTAACCTTAAAAAGGATATACAACCTCCCCCCCGAAAAAATAAAAAACTGTTTATACTGCGGCTTACAAGTCCTTAGATATGGCAACTGCATTAGTTTCCCTTTTCACCCAGTGATCCTCCTCCTAGCAACGCCTCTTGTCCTCGGGCGACAGCTCTCACTGTACTATAGAAGTAGAGTTATAACCCTGGGACAATCAGAGATCGCTAGGAAGTAACAGAGCATGCAGTTATCAGCTCACAAGATTACTGGAAGGACAAAGAATTATTATTTTGCTGCACTAACAAACTACGTAACAATCGTCTATTCAACAGGCAGAAATGGGTACAAATAGGAGAAGGTCACCGTTAGCTTTTACATAAACCGAGATCCTCATTTGATGACTTATTCTACATCAGACACACACAAGGCCACAGGATCAACATGACAGTCAGATCCATAGAAGTTGGAAAAAGGAGACATCAGCAATAGCAACCAGCTATTGAGGATGGAGATGACAGGAGGAGAACAGGGAGATGTCACTGACTCCATTGTAGAGTGAAGGACTGTGACTGACCACATGTGACATCAGACGGTGGAGGGGCGCTCCGCACGCTCGCCCTCCCAACACGAAGGGCGCTCCGCGCGCTCGCCCTCCCAACACGAAGAATGCTCCGCATGCTCTCCCTCCCAAAACGCATATGCACTCCATACAGCGTACAGACCTTGGATGAAAGGTTGGTGCTTGAAGTGACAACACGGATGGCACCGTGTTAGATACAGTCCATAATAGAAGTCACCAGCACTTGATGTGTGCAAGTAAAGCACTTTTTATAGAATCGTCACATGCGTCAAACAGCCAACACTTCGGGGCCACGCAGGGTCCCTTCTTCTGGGCGACATAGTGACCATGTCACCTGGAAGAAGGGACCCTGCGTGGCCAGGAAACGTTGGTTGTTTGACGCATGTGACGATTCAATAAAAGTGCTTTACTTCTTGCACATATCATGGAGTGCTGCTGGTGACTTCTATTATGGACTCCCAATACCAGGGCCGCTCCGCACACTTACCTTCTAACACAGCAGCAACCCACGTGTGTCCTTATCCTACTCTGCTCAGATTTATAATCATTGGTCAGGATGTGTCACCTGACCTGAGCGGCACCGCCCCCTCCCGGGCCGGCGGAATGGCATTGGTATAATCTCTGTCATGCTTCATGATGGTTATTACAACCGTGATTCCTCTAATAGAGGCAACTGTGTACTTCCCGCATAGAGAAGACTGCGAGTCCTAGCGTGCTCTGCGATCCACAGGCATGACGGGAAATGTAGTTTAATAACAACTGCTCTGTCCCAGCGATGCTCAAAGCCACCGTCCGCTATACAAAGCACACACGGGTGTCCTGTCACCACACTCAATCTAGCACAAGATCAGACTGGAAGTAATGTGCTGCTAAAGCTGTGACACTGCAGCGCCATCTGCTGGGCAATGGAGGGTAGAGAACAACAGCGGCTTGTGAGGGCCGCAGCAAGATATCTGAAATACAGCGCCATCTGCTGGCTAGAGTAGGGTGCCTCAAGCCATGTGTTCAGTGGGTCTCATGTATTCATTCAACTGCTAACTTTTGCTAAAACTTTTTTTATTAAGGCCTCATTCACACGAGAAAAAGCCGGCACGTATAGCTCCATGCTGCGTACACGGCTGTATTGGGCAATTCCCGGGAAGGACAGGTGCTGCGTGTGATTAGTACGCAGCCCCTGTCCTTCTCTATGGTAAAAGGCGGCCATACGCCGCCCTACGCTCACCCGCCCTGCTCGTCCATGCGGGTGCAGCTGTCCGTACTCGTACGCTGACAGGATGGATCCTGGCTGCGTCCGAGCCGGGACACCCACACCCGTACGGACTTGCACTTGGGGTGAGCGTAGGGAGGCTGCGTACTAATCACACATCGCACCTGTCCTTCCTGGGAACGGCCCGATACAACCGTGCACGCCGCACGGATTTCTAAGGCCCCACTCTACCCTATGTGAATGAGGCCTAAAGCTGGATTTACACCTGTGTGGTTTTTGCCCCGATGTTTTTTTAAAAACTAAAAACAAGGGAGCTGCATCAAAAGGTGTATTCACATGCATTGTTGCACGTTTCAAACACCTGCACTCGGCATTATACGTTAACACGTGTCATAACGAATCATCATTATACATGCCTTGAAATATGCATTGACATTAGTTTTTATGCACTTCCTTTCATTTCAGTGGAAAACACAATAACCAAAAATGCAAAAGATGTGAACCCACCTTACGCCTATAAAGATCCAAGAACAAAAATATCCTCTATAGTAGCTCAGCAGTCCTAAGATACATAAGTGGCTGCATTAGTTTTATTTCTCAGGCTTTCTCCACCTGGTGATCATGTGAATAACACACATTCAGTCCTTTTGTGGCTACACTCATTTCTCAATTGTATTTATGGGGGCAGGCATGGTTGTCACACAGGCTGGACTTCAAACATGTTTACCTTTGTTTATCAAATCTACATGGTGGATTGATGGGGCTAGTAGTTTACTCTATAAAAAAAAAAGTTTTTTTTGTGCTGTCTTTTCAGGAGCAAGGACAGGGCCTCTCCGGCAAAATCAATATGTATTTTCTGTATGTGCGAACAATGTTCTCAGTCTGAAAAATGAAAATGAATGCAGCCACCTCATCTAAGGACTGGTAAGCTGCAATATGTTACATGGAGGGGGAATTTATCAACGTTGTTGTATTTCTTGCACCTGTAATTTCCTCGCCAGTGACCTTTCCATGGCATGTTACAAGAATCTACTATTACTCTGCTAACCCTTTTCCAAAATGACTCTCCAGGCAAAACGAAGACAAATCAGCATGGTAAGGGCATATTTACCTGCTAGTGCACAGCTCCTTCGCAATTCTATCCAAAGCCAGTAGCCCACTTCTCCATGAGCAAGCCTCGGAGTTAGCTCTTTCACTCCCCACCTGTCACTACTACTCGCTTTCGTTGGGCCTGAGCACACCCCTGCCAGAGGTTTTTCTGTTCCCCAGTTCATCTCTGACTGAGCCTTCCCTGTTCCGGAGGCCACCCCTGCAGTAGCCTTCTCGCCCAGAGGACACTCCAGTCTGAGCCTTCCCTGACCCTGAGGACACCCCTTCTGATGCTATTCCTGTCCTGGAGTCCACCGCTGCCGAAGCCTAGTCTGTCCCGGAGGCTACCCCTGCCATAGCCTTCTCTCCCTGAGGACACCCCAGCCTGTGCATTCCCTGACCCTGAGGACACCCCTTCTGGTTCTATTCCTGTCCAGGTGTCCACCACTGCCGGAGGCCACCGCTGTCCTAGAGGCCACCCCTGCCGTAACCTTCTCTTCTAGAGGACACCCCTACCTGAGCCTTCCCTGGCCCTGATGATACCCCTTCTGGTGCTATTCCTGTACTGGAGTTCACCGCTGTTGGAACCTCATCTGTCCTGGGGGGCCACCTCTGCTACAGCCTTCCCTCCCAGAGGACACCCCTGCCTGAGCCTTTCCTGACCCTGAGGACACCCCTTCTGGTGCTATTTCTGTCCTGAAGTCCACCGCTGCCGAAGCCTCGTCTGTCTTGGAGGCCATCCCTGCCGTAGCCTTATCTCCCTGAAGACATTCAAGCTTGGGCCTTACCTGAGGACACCCCTTCTGGTTCAATTCCTGTCCTGGTGTCTACCGCTGCCGGAGCCTCATCTGTCCCGGAGGCCACCCGTCATAGCCTTCTCTCCCTGCGGACACCCCAGCCTGAGCCTTCCCTGACCCTGTGGACACCCGTTCTGGTATTATTCCTTTCCTGGAGTCCACCGCTGCCAGAGCCTCTTCTGTCCTGGAGTTCCCCCCTTCCGGATCCTTTCCTGTGGTGGAATCATCTGCCTGCTTACTTCTAAAGTGAAGAACCGTTCCTAGAGAATTCATCTTTAACAGACTGCTGTTTCTTACGTTTTAGGCAGCAAAATCTTGTGCAGGTAAGATTTTTAGTATTGGACCTTTAAACTTTTTTTTTTGTAATGTATCGAGACCTGGTCAGTTATGTTTAATTTCATACCATTTTGGGGGTTTGTATCTCACTCCACCTAGTCATTTTTTTGTTTGTATTCCTCTTGTTTACTGTCTTGTTTTTTTTTGGCTGTTTTTTGGACTTTTTATTGGTTATATTTTTTAAGTTTGAGGTTCTTTTTGTTACTTTGCCCATATGTCTGTGAAGCGATTACATGTATGTTTACTGTCTGCTCATTCATATTTTCAGAGATCGTGCCTTATGAATAATGGAAAAGTGGAATTATGCTTCTTTGGACCTGTGAGTGTGACCAACTTTTTTTGGTTGGGGGTTGCAATTAACATACTTGCTATGTCCATTTGCTCCAAAATCAGAGGTAAATTTATTGAAACTGCAGCAGCAGCAGCTGTCCATGACAAACAATCACCTAAATTCTGGCTTTCTCAAATCTTACCTAGCCAATCTAAGAGAATAACTGCTTGGTTACCATGGGCAACTGAGCATGATTTTGTCAGCTCCAGTTGTGATGAAATGCCCTCCAATGCATGCTGCTCATTCATGTGTAATATTACATTTTCCTGCAGAATAAGCTGTTACTTTCAGCCCTGTGCCAAATATCCTTTTTTAGGTTGGCTCCTTTCCTTTTCAGGTTCCAATGCAGTCATGCGTATGTGTGTTTAGTAAGATAGGTCTCCAAAAACACAAAGGAACTCCAAATCAAACTAACCACCAATTTAAGGAGCATTCCTCCACTGACCATCAATGTCCGAAGAATTTTCACACTGACCCCAGTGTAAGGAGCATTCTTCCCACTGACCACCATGTAAGTATTCTTCCCATTGACCACCTTGTAGGAAACTTTCTTCCCACTGACCACCAATTTAAGAAGCATTCTTCCACTGACCAGCAATGTAAGGAGCATTCTTCCCACTGACCGTCAATGTAAGGAGCATTCCTACCACTGACTGTCAATGTAAGCATTCTTCTCACTGACCGCCAATGTAAGGAGCATTCTTTATTCTTCCACTGACCGCCAATGTAAGGAGCATTCTTCCCACTGACCACCGGTATATGGAGCATTCTTCCTACTGACCACCAATGTAAGAAGCATTTCTTCCCACTAAACAGCACACTACAGTACCATAAGTTGTAGACATAGTAATTATTTGCAGGTGTTCCCGGAGACCTGAAAGTACTTTCAAGGGTTCCTTCATGTTAAAAATCTTGACAAAAGCTGGTGTACATGAAGCCTCCAGTACTCCAGACAAGATCGACTTATTTTATACAAGATAAAGAATACAACAGAAGTCCGTCTCCTGTTTTTGCAGCGAGAATCTGCACCTTTCCAGGGGGTGATTTAGCCCACAGCTTCAGCCACAGTTGAACTATCAGTTTCAGGTGTATCTTCAGCTTCTGTAACAGGCAACAAGCTGCATGTGAAATATTATAGCTGCAATATTTGACTCTACAACATTCACCAGTGACAATTATTTATTTTTATAAATGGTGTACAGATACATCCAGGCTAACTGTTATTACATTAAAAAAACCATTGCATCTAAAAGGTCGGCCCACACAAAGCTAACATTGGAGGTTTGCTACTTTGAGTCACGTCTTTTTTTTGCCAGAGACTCTGTTGGTGAAACATCTAAACTAATTTACCCAAATTGCGCCCATTACATCCAGCTGCTCTCACCATTACAAAGCAAATGAAGTGGCTTCATATTTCACAGACAGACTCTTCCTAGTGTAGAATCACTTTATTAGCACTTTTGATATGGCCGGGTTGCAGAGGGTGGAGGTAGAACTATTATTGTGTGGAAATCTTACAAGTGGCGAAATAAAAGAAGGAAGCAGCTGGTTGGAGTAGGTATTAGGTGGAAACCTGTGCTTTGACAAAATGCTAGTTGCCCAGCTGTCTCTGGCTTCAATAGTTTTCGGGTCAGTGATCCAATCAGGCAGATCAGGAAAGTCACAGCAAAGTCAGCACTGTTAATTTGCATAAGCGTTCCATGTGAGCGAGAGTATGGAAGCCATCGGATCATCAAGACAGCCAGGAACCTTGCATTTTCAAAAAGGGGTCAGAATGAGCTCGGCACAAGTTTCCTGTAACATCCAATATATCACAAACTCCTCCTAATATACAATGTATTACTCTATAAAAGCTGAGAAATGTAATTCAAAGACACTTAGTGATAAGCTGAACTAAGAGTATACAAAAATAATACAACAAAATGGTCCAGAGAACAGCTCGGAAAAGTGGGCAAAGTTTTACAAATGATGGAGAGAATGACATGGCCGCCATCAGACATTGTTATACACAGCCGTCATGTTCTGATGTTATTGTTTAAACCAGTGGTCCCTGAACTGCCAACTTGCAGGACAGATGCAGCCCTTTGCTTGCCTTTATTCAGCTACTGGGGCAATATTCCTCCCACTGCCACCAACGATGGGAGACTATTCCTCCCACTGACACCAATAATGGGACACTATTCCTCCCCCTGACACCAACGATGGGACACTATTCCTCCCACTGACACCAATAATGGGACACTATTCCTCCCACTGACACCAACGATGGGACACTATTCCTCCCACTGACACCAACAATGGGACACTATTCCTCCCACTGACACCAA